GTCAGCAAAAGATCATCCACGTAGACCAGGAAATATAGAGTGACACCGGAGCGATGATAGACAAAAAGGGACTCGTCGGACTGTGATTTCCGGAACCCAAAGTCAACAAGGAAGGATCTGAGGGCGGTGTACCAGGCACGTGGAGCCTGACGGAGACCATAAATGGCGCGACGTAGGCGGCAGACATGGGTGGGATGAGCAGGATCAACAAAGCCGGGGGGTTGTTCCATATACACCTCATCATCTAGCGGACCTTGAAGAAAAGCATTGTTGATGTCAAACTGTGTGATCGGCCAGTTATGAGATAGAGCAATGGTGAAAATTGTGCGAACAGTGACAGGCTTGACCACCGGACTGTAGGTATCCTGGAAATCGATGCCGGGACGCTGATGGAAGCCTTTTGCAACAAGACGACACTTGAAAAGGTTGAGGGAGCCATCAGAGTGATGCTTGATGCGATAAACCCATTTGTTACCAAGGACATTGAAGTGGGGCTGCCGCGGTACAAGATCCCACGTGTGATTGTGGAGAAGGGTGGTGTGCTCTTTGCGGAGAGCGGCATCCCACTCCGAATACCGCATGGCCTCACGAACAGAGCGAGGCTGAAGCGGTGGGGAGCGAGTAGTGAAATCAGCAGAGAACAGCTTCTTGGGCCTGTAGATACCATCCTGGGCTCGGGTCCGCATCTGGTGCGTACGAAGGAGCGGAGGTGGTGCAGATGGCTGTGTGGTGCTGGGGCTGGGCGAGGATATCTCAACCCAGCCTGCGTTGGCTGCCTAGGAGAAGACGCTGGGCCTGGGACAGGAGAAGAGGGGGGCACGGGCCCAGACAGAGGAGACGGCCCAGGCTGATTGGGCGGCCCAGTCGCGGATGTTTGAAGGGAGGAATCGGACGCGCGGGGGGGGGGGGGGGGCGGCTGATGAAGGGAGCTGGGATGCTATGGCGGGCCGAGGCCCATGTAATGGGATGTGGACGATGGGTGGGCCGAGGTCCAGAGGCCTGGACACAGCAGTGGAGGCATCTGCAGGAGGGTTAGAAGAAAAACCAGGAAAAGAGTGTTCGACAAAGCGAACATGACGAGACAAAAATATACGATGAGTGTCGGGATCAAAGCAACGATAGGCACTACGTTGAGGTCAGTACCCAATAAAGAGACATGGACGGGAACGAGGGTCAAGTTTGTGCGACGAGTAAGGACGCAACCAAGGATAACACAAGCAACCAAACACACGAAGTTTATGATAATTAGGAGCAAGGTTGAACAGAGTATTGTAAGGAATTTGACCACGCAAGGCAGACAAAGGGAGACGATTAATAAGATAGATAGCAGTGGAGAATGCAAAAGACCAAAATGATGTAGGCAAGCGAGCATGATGCAGGAGAGTGATACCCGTTTCAACAAGATGGCGATGTTTACATTCAGCCAAGCCATTGTGCTCAGGTGTATGAGGTGGGGTGAGGAGATGACTGATCCCATGATCAATCAGCGTGGAACATAATTTTTGGAATTCACCACCACCATCAGAGTAGAGACGACGAATGGTGGTGGAGAAATAGTTCTCAACCATCTTTTGAAAAGCAAGAAACACAGAAAGAACATCAGACTTGCGTTTTAGCGGATAATACCAAGTATAACGGGAGAAATGATCAACGATGATTAAATAATAATTAAAACCATCAATGGAGGTGACCGGAGCCGGTCCCCAAACATCCGTATACAATAAATCAAATGGTCTAGTGCTGGATAACGAGGAATGAGCAAATGGAAGTTTATGACTTTTATTGGAAAGGCAGGAATGACAATGACTACTGACGGTAGAGCATGATACTGGCAAAGAGTGAGTGCGAAGCAGACTGGCGAGGGAAGAGGATGATGGATGACCAAGGCGGGCGTGCCAGGACGTGGAAGAGGTACGAGTGGTCACAAGAGCAAGACGCACGTTGTCCACATCACCAGGCAGCTCATAGACGTCCCCATTATTTGCCCCCTTCATTAACGGCGCCCCCGTGCGAAGATCCTTCACAACAAAACAATCAGCAAAGAATTCCACCGAAATGGGATTAGTACGGCAAAGCTTAGCAAAGGAGATAAGTTTACGTTTGATAGCAGGAGCACATAGCACATCGTTCAATTGAAAAGCAGAAGTGGAATTTTGCAGCGTAGTAGACCCAATATGGGTGATTTGCAAACCTGTCCCGTCGCCAACGAGCACTTCATCTGGGCCAGAGTAATCCGAATAAAGGGATAAATTGCGTAGATCGGAAGTAACATGATGAGATGCCGCAGAGTCAAGGAGCCAGGGGACGGAGCCCGAATAGCAGAAGTATGATTAGGCATGGCAACGGGTGGGTATGGGTACGGGTAGTGGCTCCCCACTCCCCGCCCGCAACTGCAAACGGGCATTACCCATCCCCGCCCGGAATAAGCTATGGATAGTAAATTGCTACCCATCCCCGTATCCACTCGGGTTTGGGCATTCCCCGGCAGATCGGGTTTTACCCGTCACAGAGGATCAAGAACCAGAAGATGTTCGTCTCTGGATTTACAAGCTGGGTTGTGAACTTAACGCGGAGGAGGAAGCTGTAGATCCGCGACTTTGCTTCTTGATCAGTTTCAGTGGATTGCACCTGCAAGCTTGTCAATTTCTCTGTCTGCATTTTCTGGGTTTCGTACGAAGGTAGACAAGTGAAAAGATGAGAGACAGACTTTTTGATCCAAAAAGTCAATTGAATAAACTTTAGATGATGTTATTGGGCCATAAGTTTACAGTTGAGCCTGTAAAACATACAGACTTGTTTTTCTTACTAGGCCTACTGAAAATAAATTATTTGTAATTATTTGTAGGCTACTTTCAATTAAATTAGAAGGCCACTACTAACCCAAAACGCTTTCGTTTTACTAAAACACAAAGTTTAGTTCTTCCTTTTATCGATCAGCCCCCCCCCCCCAACCAAATACAGAGCACACTTAACATATCGGACGGGGCCGGGGCGGATACCGTAATATCCAACCCCGACCCGCCCCCGTTACTCTGCATATTCCGGGTTTCCCCGAATCCGGCCCGTATCCGACACTGGCGGGTTTCAAAGCGGGCTTGACCGGACGGGCGCGGGTTATGCCCGCTATTTTTTTACCCACTGCCATCCCTAAGTATGATGGGCCTGAGCTTGACGGGCCTGGGGAAATAAACGAAAACATTGATGGACTGAATGTCCGGGGCGCTCACAATATTGGCAAATGACAGCAGGCCGACGTGGGCTGGAGACAGGCGGATTCGGCCTAGAGTGAGAGGGTTGGACTGGGCCCAAGGGCCGCTGGAAGCTCACTGCTGGACGTGGGGATGAAGACCGCTGGGAGGGGAATCCGCGTGAGGAGCGCGACTATGAAGACCCACCAGAGGAAGCGCCGCCGCCAAAATTATGTTGGCCCTGCAAGTAGAACGCAGTCGGAATGGTCTGGCGGACCTGGGCTTTGAGATCAGACTCATACTCCACCAGCGAGTCGACCAAATCTTCGAGGCAGAGTCCAGGACCCCGAGCTCGAACGGCGGCGGCAAAGGCATTGTATTCCTCACCTAAGCCGCAAAGACAGTAGACAACAAGATCGAGATCGGAGACAGGTTTCCCGATGAGTGCGAGCTCCTCAGCGGTGCTCTTGAGATCATTGACAAACGAGAGGATATCGCGATCCCCTTTGGAAGTTTTGGCCAGCTTCCCCTTGAGATGAATGATTCGAGATTGAGCATTGCTCGCATAGAGCTTTTCCAGAGTCAACCACGCCGCCCGTGACGTAGAAGCAGCAGAGACGAAAGAGTATATCGATTCAGAAATCGAACAGCGCAGGGCGTGGAGAATGAGTTTGTCTTGCCGAAACCAGTGCTGATACTGGGGATTGGGGATCTCGACAGAGTCAATCACGAGTGTGCGAGGAGGGGCAACAATGGTGCCATCAATATAGCCAAAGAGATCAAGACCCATGAGCAGCGTGTCGAGCTGCGAACGCCAGGAGGCGAAGTTTGTGGAGGTGAGCTTCAGGGGAAGCTGAGCAGCCGGATTGAACGTGATAACGGTGGGAACCTCGGCTGAAGTGACTGTGTTGTCAATGTTAGAGCTGCTGGACACGATGACAGGAAGAATGGGAGAAACGGGGAAGGGAAAAAAAGAATGGGGAAGGCTGTATGTTGGAGAAGGAAAAAGCTCTGCCAAAACCGAGCGGGAGGGCATTGTGAGGGAGATTGGGGATTCGATTGAGGAAAAAAGATTTGATTTTGCAGAGGAAAGAGACTAATGGATCGACTAGCTGAACTTGGCTAGCTCTGATACCATATTAGGAGGAGAATCGGTTGCAGAAAGAGGATTATTGTGAATCAATGACTTGATTTGTATTTGACATTTACAGCAATATTTATACACTGTTACATAGGATACAAGAGAGGTTGTTGAGTAATTGAAGGAGAGTCTACAGGGGAGTTGAGGAGTGGAGACATGGAGGGGAATTAATAAATTGAAAAGAATTGTTATTCTTTTCCTCTAATATATTTTACGTAACAGCTGCAAAGTTTTATTAACATAATGGGTAAATGACACATTTGGTCACTGAGATTATTAAATTGTGTCATGTTTAGTCACTAGAAAAAATTAATATCAATTTTGGTCATTCGAATTACCGAAACTGGTCAAATTTAGTCACTCTCCCGTCAGTTTCCGTCCAACTCCATTAATGGAGTTGGACGGAAACTGACGGGAGAGTGACTAAATTTGACCAGTTTCGGTAATTCGAATGACCATTAGTTGGACGGAAAATTTTGGGAGAGTGACTAAATGTGACATGTTTCACTAATCCGAGTGACTAAATGTGACATTTTTCAATAATTCGAGTGACCGGAGTTGGACAGAGGCTACAGAAAGAGTGACCAAATGTGACCTGTTTCAGTAATTTGAGTGACCAAAATTGATATTAAATTTTTCTAGTGACTAAATATGACACGATTTAGTAATCTCGGTGACCAAATGTGTCATTTACCCTTAACATAATGACCAATGTTTTTACGTAATGAATATTTAATTTTACGGGTAGACATCCCGGTTGGGTTCTAACAACACCGATCAAAACATAGAATAACAACTACAACTTATGATAACTATATATCTGCATTTTTTTTATGAATAATCTAACTGAAGTCTTTAGGCAATAGTGATTGGTTCGTTCATCACAGATTCTACAACCTTCACCAGCTTAGTGCTAGCATGGTACAAGTCCTCCTTCATGTAGAAAAAGAAGAAGCCTTTCACCGCTCTCCAAAACATCAACCTCACTGCTTTAGGAACCTCGCCGCAGTTGTCTTCTCCGGTGGTCAATCTCACCATTTGTCGCGTCAAGGTTGTTATCAGGTTTTCAACCTCTTCCACAGCTTCTTCCATGTCCATTCCTCTTCTCATGATTCTTAGTGACACTGCATTCACGTTGCCTTCTTGTGCTTCTCTCTATTATCAATTAACCACAAACAAAAAGCAAAGTCAAAATGGTCAAGATGTACAAATAATCTGATTTTTTTTTTGGTGTTGAGGGAATTTCACGTATAGAGATTAAAAACGAATCGACGTGATTCATGTCATAATATATATGATCAGATTTCCAAAATATTAATAGAGGGTAAACCTAAAAAAAATTGAAAGAATTACAAAGGAATCGATTAAAGTTCAAGAAAATACTATGCGTAAAATGGGCTTTGCGACCTTGCCCAGCACCTAGTAGGGCTGGCTATTTGGTCCCGGACTGTTTGGTTTTACCCGAAACCGGACCGTATAACCCGGACCGGGATCGGACTGGGACCGGATAGCAAACAATCCAATCTCATATTCGGGCTTAGATTTGAGGTAAAAAACCCGGATAAAGACCGGATAAGAGACCCCCAACACCTAAAATCAAGATCAAATTGGGACCGGACCGGGTCAAGATCGGACCGAATCAAGACCGGACTGTATTCAATCTTTGGTCCTTATATTCCCGAAAAAACCGAACTGTGACCGGATCAATTTGGTCCAATTTAACCGGACCGGACCGTATAGCTAGCCACCCTAGCACGTCTAGATGTTCTCTGTCTATTATACTTACCCAATACTAAAGTGTCATTTTAATTCGTCGCCGTGTACTCGTTGCCTAACTCACGAAAGAATCCCCAGAAGAAATGGTTTGGTATTTGCCTAGCGTCTAGACTTAAATTTAATTTGATCGTATATGTGTTTACCTCAAAGCCTCTAACGTCGTTCAAGAGACGTCCAATGGTTGTTGTGAGCAAGAACAACCTTTGGTATTGCGGACCTCTGACAACATCGTCTTCCAGCTTGTGCCCAGCTGAGTATATGGCAGGGAGCAAGAATGCTGCAACTCCAAGTGTAATCGATGAAGTCGCCATGTATTCTTCGAGTGTCGGGATGGTGCTCGTTCTGCACCATTCTGCTTCCTGCAACATTCCTTTTACAATCTCCACCCACTACACAGTAACAAATGTGAAAAGATTTGATCAGGTAGGTAGTAATTGTAAGAGAATGGTATAAGATCCATAATAATTTTCTTTCAATAATTCGAGTTATTGGAACCAACTGGTTTATGACATGGTATTGGAATTGGTTTGACCAAGCGGTAGTGTGTTCAAATCTCCACGACCCCCAATATTAACCGTTTATCAAAACACAAGCCCGTAAGTTAGATTTCGTTTGAAGGGACGTGTAAGAGAGTGGTATAAGATCCATAACAACCTGCTCTTGACAAGGTATTAAAACTAGTTTGTCCTCGAGGTCGTATGTTCAAGTCCTCACGACCTCCAATATTAACTGTTGCCCATGAGTTGGCTTTCGTTTGAAGGGGCATATAAGAAGTCGTTAAATATCATACATGGACCTCTACCAACAACTCGAGTTATTGATACCAGTTGGTTTATGGCATTAATAACTAGTTGGTTTATGACATTAATAACTAGTTGGTCCCAATAAATCAAGTTGTTAGAAGAAATTCAAGAATGAATCTTATACCATTTACTATAATGCACACTCAAATGAAAGTCAACTCATACAGGTTTGAAATTTGTATAGTCCAAAACCATGTATGCTTAACAAATAGAGTCATCGTTACGACTCGAACAAAATATTCCACCGTCACAAAAGTTCTAATACCAAAAGTTAAGAACCAACTCATGTGTAGTTGTCGGAAAAAGATTGAACTTTAGGTTATACCTTCTACTAGCATATGGCAACAATATACGAGGTAAGAAGCTAGGGCTTACAAGCTCGACGACGTGATCCATCACACTACGCCCTTGCGTTGGAAAAGCTTTCTCCACGGTCTCACATATAGCACCGTGGATCGCCCAGTATATCGTCTCGACTCGCTTTGAACAGAACTCTGCCTTTGGTCCGTTGACATCCCACCTACGGTGTAAAGTTGCAGTTCAGTTACCTTTTACATGACGAATATAGTGTCACATATGTTGGTTTAGATACTGTTGTCAACAATTTTGCGAACCTCTGCAACAAATCGACAATGTTCAGCTGCTCCTCGTGGGTTCCGTCGATGTCGAATACGGCGTCGACGACACAGACGAGGACGGCGTGCTTGCAGAGCAAGATGCGAGCGTGGGAGAGCTCCGGTTCGGTGAAAGTGGTGGAGCCGTGGAAGTGGCAGTAGCGCGTTTTCACCTTGGCCAGCGTCGTATCATCTAATTTCTTCTCTTTTAGCCACCTGCACGCGCAGGAACCGGCCGGCTTAATCTTTTCACAAGACGAGGCATATTAAATTAACAGGTAATTAATATTATTAAACTATATATATACGTACTGCATGAGATGTTGGAGCTCTTTGCGGTGTAATGATTGACGGGAGTTGAAGTCTTGTACTGCTAGTTTCTGAAAATCTTGGCCCCCAAAAGCGGCACAGCTGCACAAGTGTAGGAAAAGAAAGAAAATCTTGGTTTAGAGGAATCCGCTCCAAAATCCGCCACATTTTCATCCTTAATTGAGGTACATACATAATTGATTAATTATTTAATTAATTAATTATTTAATTCGGGGACTAAAATTCGAAGTCATACCTGAAAGAGGATTTAAGAATCCTGGTGTTGTCGGGACAGTACCGCTCAGCATTTCTTTTGTGAACCAGGATGTCCAAATCAGCGTGGAATGGATAACGTAGAACATCATTCACCTACGAAAGTCATATTTTATATATATTATTATTATGGCCCAAATCAAATTTCACAATATGTATATTTAATATATATAATAATTAACCGGCGGCACCTACTTGAGTGACAACAATATTTAGTTTTTTCTTTTGTGCTGGACTGTGATTGCTCACATCGCGACAATGGTGGTGATCCAGAGCAAGTTGCTTAAGGAACTGCGCCGTCCACAGCTGTTGTCTTCCAAGGATGGATGCCTCGCCGTCGTGCAGGCAAGTGATTCTTGCAGCTTTGTGTAACTCCAAAACTGCTCTTTCATCCTTCAAATACCCTTCTAGGGTATCACTCCAGAATCGAACCTCTGTGAATCGATCAAAGACATCTGTACGTAGATAAATCGATTAAACATAATTAACATCGATATATCTCTCAACAACTCGAGTTATTGAAAACATCAAGAGAAGTGAATTTTTTTTCCCCGGTGACGTACTAATAATACCTGATGACACTGGATATCCGTTGAGGCGTAACATCCGAAACGCCATGGCACAAGTTGTGGCATCAAGGAATATCTCTTCCTCTCCCTGCCGCCAGCGTCTGTGGATCTCGTCCAATGCCAGCTCGATCTCCTCTCGGAAATGACGATCGATTCCCAAACTCTCAACCGTATCGATCAGGCAGAGTCGAGCCTGAATTTCAAGAGGATGAACCGCTGGAACTGCACATATATGACGTAGCATAGATATAATCAGTAAAATACGATACAAGTAAGTTACGATACGAGTATTTTACCTTATCTTTCAACTAATTGTATGTCTAATTATCAATTTGAAATAATTATTTTTAAAATACATAAATGTATAAATAACATTCAAATTATCGTCGTTACATACGAATATTGAACTTATTATACAATATTATACGTGTTTAGTACGTGAAGCATGAACAAACAGGAAAAAAATGAAATAATCTGTCAATAATATTTAAACGGAAGTTTTCGACAGATGTACGTCCATATATACGCGTCACGTGTATACACAAACCTGCGGCTGCGTTGCTTCCGGCAGTGGTGGTGCGTAATACCGACCGGAGGTAGCCGAGCGAGAGTGCATCATCGTGACCGTGAATAACAGCCGCGGCCGTCGCCGACGGCGAGTTGAGGATCGAGCCGTTCTTTCTCTGGAACCTCATCGCATTTCCCCGAGCCTGATGAGAGCTTCCGATCCCTTCCAATATGTAGGCCAAGTAGGCGTCACGGCCGTTGGATCGGTCCACGCCGGTCAACGCAACGTCTCTGTTGTTGCGGATCATGGCGTCGATTTGCGCGGCGTCGAGCGGGAGATTCAAACGGAAATCCCGAGTCAATGTTTGCACCATGGAAGGGAATACGACGTCGAACCCGATTGGAGCTTGCTGGCTAGAATCCGCGAGGGAGCCTGAATTCCGCTCCATAAAAGCGAGCGCTGTGGGACAGATGGTAAACGTTAAGACTAAAAAACTAACAAAACAATCATCGTTAAATAATCACCATGGTATAAACGTTAACTTCATGGTAATTATTTAACCACGTATATACATGAGAATATTGACCAATACTAACTAGCACTAGTATTAATTATATTTAAAAATGTTATAATAATAATCATAATCAATGGTATACCACTAGGGGTGGCTATACGGTCTGGTCCGGTTAAATTGGACCAAATTGATCCGGTCTCAGTCCGGTCTTTTTGGGAATATAAGGACCAAAGATTGGATTGGATACAGTCCGGTCTTGATTCGGTCCGGTCTTGACCCGGCCCGGTCCCAATTTGAGCTTGATTTTAGGTGTTGGGGATCTCTTATCCGGTATTTATCCGGGTTTTTTTACCTCAAATCTAAGCCCGAATATGAGATTTGATTGTTTGCTATCCGGTCTCAGTCCGGTCCCTATACGGGTTATACGGTCCGGTTTCGGGTAAAACCAAACAGTCTAGGACCAAATAGCCAGCCCTATATACCACAAGTTCATCATAAATTAAATGACTGCAACAACTATTTTTTTTTTTTTAGAAACTGCAGGGTCTCGCAGCCCTACCTTATTGGTTGGCCCTGGCTAACAACATACAGTAACTGAACCTCACTCAATAACTCGAATTATTGAGATCAACGGATTATTCTTCAGGTCAGAACGATACTCTTACCGCTATGAACGTGGTTGTCGCCTGTGCCCCATCGTTTGAGTGCAAGAATGCAGGCCAGAGTGGACGAGAGAGCGTCCTTCATCAACGTCGGGTCTCCGCCGCCGTGAACGGAGTGCAAACCCCAGGAGCCATCGTCGTGCTGGTTCTCCAGTATCCAGGTCAGGCATCCCGGGAAGATTGGTTTTTCCGGTGAAACCGCCGGAGATGGAACCATCGCCACCCATGCCGTGTCGTAGGCAGAGGCGGACAGCTCGGACTTCTCAAAGAGCTTCTTGATTCTCTCCTTCCGATGATCGCCGTCGACGGCAAGCTGCTGCTGCGTCAAGCTGCCGGTTCCGGCGACTTTGTTGTTTTTGCCCCATCGCGTCCCGTCCAAGTCTCTCGTTGCTGCCAGCTGCAGGTCGGGGTTGGTTGAATGAAGGGACATATTTGATCGAAGCTATAATTAACAGTTGTAGTAACTATATTTGAATTGGAATTTACTTCCAGGACTCCGTCTATATATGGAAGAAAAAAAATGGGAGTTTGGCGAAGAACGCCGCATTTGTGGAATATATAGTTGGAGCTGAATCTTCCGTGCCGGTCAGAGCACGCAGACCATATATGCGCCTAACTATGTCTAATTGAACCGGTGATCAGAATTTGAACCCGCCTCGCGGGTATTATACGACCTGATCTACGAGTGATGGGTATTACCCGACTTGTAGTTAGGGGTGGTCGTTCGGTTACCGGTTACCGGTTAATCGGCCGTTTAAATCAATAATCGGCCAGTTATTCGCTAACCCCTACTTGTAGTAGCGTGGGGCGGGGCATGGGTATTGAGGTACCCGCTCCGCCCGCCCCATTGCCATCACTAGATTGAACCACTTTTATCGGGTATTACCAGACGTGACTCGATATGGGACATGTATTATTCTGTCTCGGTAGTATGAGTTGAATCATGAATATTTATTTTCAACTCATGGCCTGCTTCGTTTTGTTCTTGACTTACTTTATTTCAATTTTTTTATGGTATCCATTCGTGTTTTAATTTTTTTTTTATTTTAAATTAATTAGACTTGATATTTCAACTAGTTAAATATGATTTTTTAACTATTTTTGATTATTATCCAACGGTAAAATATTTAAAGAAATTCCGGTAATAGAAATAATGATTAAAAAGACTATTAAAGGAAAGATTTACAGGTAGAGGATTCTCCACGTTTAGTATTTACTTGACTTCGGGTACTTACGAACTCTCGAGAGTCCAGACTCAGTCAATTGTTTTTGGAAGAGTTAATAACACTTTTGGCCACTGAACTATATTGCTCTTACTTTCATAGCGTGTGAAGTGGGAATTATTTATTTTTCCTATTATGCCTCCTGAAAGTATATATTTTTTTCAATCTAATCCTTAGCGTTCAAAGTTTGTCTGTCTCCATAAATTGGGACTTACCTAAACATTGATAGATGGCTCATGTGCATAAAATGTCCCCATAATTACAAAAACAAAGATAATTCCTCCATAATTTTTAACACCTTCCCCAACTGATCACTTTCATAAGTTTAATTCACCCTACAATTTTCAATCAAACTCAACAAATTGGTTTATCTTTTGTCAAAACTTAAAAAAAAAATAAAAATAGCTAGGGTAACCTTTTAATTACATGATTTTCTGAATGAGTTGGTGTCTAATTAGCGTGTCTAGTGAGCAATTGGATCCCCGTTGAAGAGAAGATTAGCAGTCTTCTAAATAACAAGAGGCACAACAGGAATTAAAATGTTTAGATTTGAATGACTATGTTAGAAAAAGAAATAGTACAGAGATCATGATAGGAAAACTTTGGTATAGTTTAGTTTAATGGCCAAATACATTATTAACTTTTTTTTTTAATTATAGATCTGAACCATGCCAAATTAGCTATGTCCCTACCCGAGATGACTTAATCATGGACATACAGTAGTATCTGAGACTCATCTTGGCCACCGGAAATCACGGAGCTCGTTGGAAAGTCTTTCTTATGAATAGCCCAATAAGGAAATTCTTTAGTTTTAATATGGGTTCGTGTTTTATATTCTTCTACTAGGGCTTCTTATATATATATATACTAGAATGAACCCGCGCTATGCTGCGGATGCTAAGAGACGGTGAATTATTGGTTGTTGACACAATAATACTAAACATAATTGTTTCAATAAGTTTGTGCTTAGCTATTTTATTTACTTTCTCGGGATTTTTTGACATGATATTTAATCATTATAATTTCTTATTTTTTAGTTTTTAGTTTTACCATTTCAACCATACTATTTTAGAAAGGCATAGTTAGTAAAAATATACGTTTGATACATGAATTGCCGTATGTTGAGATGTTTTCGTTTGTTATACACTTCACATTAGGGATGACAATTTTGATTTGACCTGTTTTACCCTACCTGTTTTGGACGGGGCGGGCATGAGTAGTGTCCTCAACCTGACCTGTCTTGACTCGACCCATTTTTTACCCGTTTCTTGCTTAAATCACATGTAATATTACTCAAATTAATTATTCTTCTACTTTTATGACATAATATTTTATTTATAATAAAGTTGTAAATAGATGAGAAGCTCAATTTCACGAATAACTTAAAAACATTAATCACGTTTTACTTTTTTTTTGTATGAAAAATGAATATTTTCACAATTTTGTGTTGAAATTACATACTCATATAGATCGACCTTCGCCCCGTAATAAATTATCCAAACTACCACAAAGCGTGTATGGGTATCGAGATACTCGTACCGACCTACCACATTGTCATTCCTACTTCACGTACATATTAAAAATATGTCCACCCGTGCATTACTACGGGGTTGAGATTAATAGTTTTTCCCAACTAATTAATTCTGTTCTCAATGAGTATAAAAGAATTTCGAAAAAAATAGGAAAATAAAAACGACTAGATGATAACCATTTTCACCCCAATTTGATTTATGAAGAAGCTGAAGAAATGGTATTTCATCATGTCATCCATGAAGAAATTATGTGAAAGCTTAACAGCCTCCACTTCCCACTTAGCCACTTGTCAATAAATAATTGGTTTGTCATAGGAAAAAATTAACAGTCATGCAGAGTAATAAGAACTTAGGCAACAGTAAACTGTCTTTTGGTTTATATATAGTAATATATATATTCCTCTCTTAGATTAACAAACGCACCCCTTTATTAAATTTTTGCACAAACATATTCTTTTAAATTTCGTTTGGGCATAACAGAGAGAGCATAAAAAAAATGCAGTCTCTGGAGTGATTTTCTTTGTTCTTTTCAGCAGAGTAGTAGTAGTGGCAATAGGCAGAGCTCCAAGGGTATTGACAGGTTCTCTCTCTCCATTCACCGACGAGGAGATGCCGACAGCAGGCTTCGTTGCCGAATCGATGGCCAAGGGAAACAGACGTGTGAGTTATTTTTTTTTTTTTTGACAAAAGATAATCATATATTGATACCAAACAATAGATAGTTACACCCTGGATCTAAGCCAGGTCCGAAAATTAAAAGAGCGACTCATAGCCGGGTACAAAGAGAGGGCTTTCCTAGCCACCATATGGGCTGTCCTATTACTACTCCGACCTATAAATCGCACACTAAACCCAGGATTGCTACCAAAATAATGTAAGACTTCTTCCAGCACAGCACCCATCCGGTTATCCCTCGCATCCTTGCAGTTGATTTTATCAATAATAACCTTGGCATCCCCTTCGAAGCGCATTCCCGTGAAACCCTGGCCCAAGCACCAAGTAATGGCCTCCCGGAGCACAAGCAACTCCACGATCGCTGGGTCATCAACCCCCTGAAACTGAATCCCGTGAGCCATAAGAACATCCCCCGAGGGAGCCAGGAGAACCATGCCACCTGCTGAATGCGACCCCTTCCTAGTCGCTCCATCCCACTAGCAAATAAACCCTGCCCCCTGGTCCGGTCCACCTGACCATGGAACCGCCGGGGGAGAAGGCGCACTTGACACATCCACTGGTAACCCCACCCATTCCTCATACTGCTGAGAAAACTGTCTCATCAATGCGGGGAACCCAAACTGCTTCCCTTCAAACACTACCCAATTCCTCGACCGCCAGACGCGCCACAGGACAGAGACAACTGCCATGAGGAGCTCCGGCTGCTGAATTACGGCCAGTAAACGTTTAAGAAACAAAGGAAAAGTCTGGCGGGGCAACCCCTCCCCTATGTACTCTAGCCCGGCGAGCCCCCAGAGCTGGCGCGCCACCGGACAATCCAGAAACAGATGCTCCATGGTTTCCGGGCCACCCCAACAGACCGGGCAACGAGGGTGGACAGGGACCCTACGCTCAATAAGGGCCTCCGTTGTGGGGAGAGTTCGATTGAGAATTTGCCAAACAAAAACTTTCAGCTTCGGGGGAATATTCGCCTCCCATAACCTGATCCAACTGGATCTATCCATCCAACTAGCTGACGCCTTCCAACGGCCCCTCCTTCTATCTAGGGAGACAGCCAGATGATAGGCCGACTTAACCGAGAATACCCCATCCGGCGTAAAATGCCAAATCAATTTATCTGGAAGATCCTGTCTGGGAAGGGGAATAGTTTTTATAATACGGCACGTAGGCGGATCAAACCACATGCTGAGCTTGGAATCACACCACCGCCCCTCCCCCTGACAAATTACCTCAGCCACCGTTGGATCCCCCCCCCCCCCCCACCGGAAGAACCACCGGATTAAATCTCGGGGGATCAAGCTATAGCTGAGGAACCCAGGGGGACCGAAGCAGGGAGGCCGAGCGCCCATTCCCAATTTGCCATCTGAGGCCCATTTCTAACAAATCACGACCATACAAGATGCTTTGCCAACCCCAAGAAGGACGCGACCTGGCTTTCGCATTGAGAAAATGCCCTGAGGGGAAATACTTACCCTTATAGACCTGGGCTAGAAGCGATTGAGGCTCAACCAAAATACGCCAGCCAATCTTGGCTAAAAGAGCCTGATTGAACTGCTCAAACCGGCGGAAGCCCATACCCCCCTCATGCTTACTCCTACACATATCCCGCCAGGCCATCCATCTAATTCTCGGGTGCCCCTCCTCATCACCCCACCAAAAGCGCGCAACATGCTTGTCTAAAAGGCGACACAACGATAGAGGCATCTTGAAACAAGACATGACATGCAACGGCAAAGCCAAGGCAATGGACTTAATCAGCGTCTCCTTCGCTGCCCAGGATAGGGTCCTACGTTTCCATCCCTGCAGCCTTTCCAACAGCTTAGCCTCCAAATATCGAAAGGACTCCATTTTAGACCGAGCAATCAAAGTGGGGAGACCCAGATATTTATCATGCACCCCAACAGCTCCAACTCCCAAAATCGCCGCTAAGAACTCCTGGTCAGGAAGAGCAACATTCTTACTAAAACAAACGGCCGATTTACCCAAATTAACACGCTGCC